GAGGAGGAGCGGAAGGCGCGGGAAGAAGCAGAAGAAGCAGAAGACCATCAGTCATCTGATGACGAGGACTGACGGTGGCTGGATTGTGTGTGCCCTTCAAGCTAGTAACTAGCCTGCTCACACCCCATGCGCCTGTGTGGCACATGACTCTCGACATTCAGGAGAAGCCTGAGGAGGCAGCTGACCCTGGCGGCGCAGGCCTGAAACTTGAATTGGCAGAAGTCAGGGCGCTTCTTGCAGAGCATGACCTTGGCAGCTCATAATGTCGCGATTCGTATTCTAAGCGGCGAGAAGAACCTTGTGTGTGAGTTGTACACATTCGGTACCATGCAGACTGGTCCACGTAGGCTTTCCGGTATCACTACAGCTTGTTTTGCACAACTGTGCATGCCTGTTTGTGGAAACCGCGCCGCGTCAGCAGCAAATCTACGTGTGCAAGTTTATCAGGCAGATTCCTGCCTACGAGACCTTTGGTACCAGAATATTATGAATATTCTTCATTATTCATGGCTTACTTGCAGGCAGCAAAGAGAGGAAGAAAAAGGTGAAGAAGCCAAAGCAAAATCAGGCCCCTGACGTGACCGTGTCGGAGATATCTGCTGCACAAGCGCAGGGAGTTGTAGGCCTTTGCTTTGCAAGGGCGATGCAGAGCCAAAAAAGAAAGGAGTCTCAGCTGAATGCTCTGGGCGTTCCTTTCAGTCGGTAACATCACCATGCTTTTGTCAGAGTGAGGCTTGCAAACTTGCCTCTCAGGCAAGAAGAAGAAGAAGGACATCATCGTCACGGTTCCCTGACTGCGCAGAAGATGATGAAGCCAGCTTTCAGAATAGTCGGTCCTAAGCTAGTGACGGTGATGCTAAGGTTGGCCAAGTAACCTTCGCGGATGCTTGCCTGGTTTGGTTTTTCTGGCTGCGGATGTTAGATGTTGGCGGCATGAAGCAGCTCGCTTTTGTCACGCGCTGATGACTAACAATATGTGTAAACATATATATATATATATGAGCCCG